CAGATAGAGATAGAGCATGAGTGGGGGAGGGGCAGAGAGAGAGGGAGACACAGAATCTGAAACAGGCTCCAGGCTCTGAGCAGTCAGCATAGAGCCTGATGCGGGGCTCGAACCCACGATCTGTGAGATCTGCCCTTAGCCAAAGTCGGACGCTTAACCGACTGAGCCACCCAGGCACCCCTAGACACAAGAACATTCTTAAACCAAACCAAATAAAACCATCCAATTAGGAAATTTACATTGCTACATCTAATTCTGAGAGTCCATGCAAGTGTTACCAGTTATCCCAATTTTTTAGAGAAAAAGAATCAATTAAAAAATCACTGCTCTTAGTTATAATATCTTTTTAGTGTTCTTCAGTGTGAAATACCCCTCAGCTTTTTCTTGACTTTCATAATCCAATGTCTCTCAAAACTAATCCTTTAATGTAGCTCTGGTTTTAATTTATATTTAAATTCAAGGGATCTTTTTCTCTTAGAGAATGTCCAGATAAGGTATAAAGTTTTGCCACCATCTGTGAATAGTTATTCATGTGCTGTGTGTGGGTCCTTAGGCATTCTCACAAATATGGGGGATTTTTATTTATAAATAACTCACCATTATCACTATTTATATGCTGTTATAGTACTTCCATGGAAACAATTCCTAAATTTCATTTTAAAAAACTGCTCTATCCTTTCATTTTTATCCTGACATATGTTTCTTGACTACATGTATGACCTTTTAATCACAGAAGCAAAGAAATAAGTGACAGTATTTTGTGAGTTTCTTTGGTTGTCAAATATAAATTTCCTTAACTTGAAATTATTTTCTTCCCTTGTCATGCCTTAGCTATTGTGTATTAACTTAAAACCACCAGAGGGAGTGTGTGTGTGTGTGTGTGTGTGTGTGTGTGTGCGCACGTGCGCACGCATGTGTATGTTATCTTATATGTAGGTTAAAAAATCAAGGCTCAGCTATCAGCTATTGAGAGACTCATATGATTATAATATTTGATATTTCATATAATTTTCAATGCGGAAAAGTAATAAAGTGACACAAAATGTCCAGGTCACAGAACAGATATTTCTAATCGTGAATCAATATATTACCATTCTTGTTTATTTAGTGAGTGCCAACTATTTGCCAGACACTGTTATAGGTGCTAAAAATCCAGCAGTAGAAAGAGAAAATATGTCTTCTTAACAGAGCTTATGTTCTCCTAAGAAGATCATCTCCAAGTAAACAGAGACAAAATAATTCAGAGGATCATAAACGGTATGAAGAAAATCAAAAAGAATAGTGAAATGGCATAGAGGCTAAGAAAGGACATTCTTATGTGATGTAATCAGAGAAAGCTTCTGAGGAGACAACATTTGAAGAAAGATGTGACTCAGAAAGAAGATCTAGCCAAACAAGCCAGTGAAGAAATGGGCAGAAGATATGAACAGACACTTCTCCAAAGAGGACATCCAGATGGCCAACAGACACGTGAAACGATGCTCAGCATCCCTCCTCATCAGGGAAATACAAATCAAAACCACACTGAGATACCACCTCACGCCAGTCAGAGTGGCTAAAATGAGCCAATCAGAGAACTCTAGATGCTGGCGAGGATGTGGAGAAACGGCCACCCTCCTACACTGTTGGTGGGAATGTAAACTGGTACAGCCCCTCTGGAAAACAGTGTGGAGGTTCCTCAGGAAACTAACAATAGAACTCCCTTATGACCCAGCAATAGCACTGCTAGGAATTTACCCAAGGGATACAGAAATGCTGAGGCATAGGAGCACATGTACCCCAATGTTCATAGCAGCACTCTCCACAATAGCTAAAACATGGAAAGAGCCTAAGTGTCCATCAACAGATGAATGGATCAAGAAGATGTGGTTTATCTATACCATGGAATACTACATGGCAATGAGAAACAATGAAATCTGGCCATGTGTAGCAACATGGATGGACCTTGAGGGTGTTATGCTGAGCGAAATAAGTCAGGCAGAGAAGGACAAATATCAAATGTTTGCACGTATAGGAGGATTAGGAGGAACTGACGGAGGAAAAAGGGGGAGAAGAAGGGGGGAATGGTGGGGGAAAGGGAGAGAGGCAAACCATGAGAGACTCTTGAGTGCTGACAAAAACTGAGGGCTGATGGATGTGGGGGGGGAGGGGGGGATGGGCATGGAGGAGGACACTTGTGGGGATGAGCACTGGGTGTTATGTGGAAACTAATTTGACAATAAACTATTTGTAAAAAAAAAAAAAAAAAAAAAAAAAAGATCTAGCCATGCAAGGTTTTGTGGGAAGAGAGTTCTAGATAGAGAAATAGCTAGTGCAAAAGCTCCAAAATGAAACAAGCTCATTTCTTTTTTACTTTCCCTCAAAAATATATAATTAAGAAGATAATTTTGCTATGTGGAAAACTGTACCACAAAGCCTAAAAGTTTTCTTTTTGGTTATCTACTTTTTTCATATTTTCAACATCCTCAATTATTACACATAATCAAGACCCACTATTTCAGGGATTTTTAAGCAAATGTGCATCTGAGGAATTTAATTTTCTCATTTATATATTCCTTCTTAGAAGAATGATCATAAAGGAACAGTTTAAGATAGTTTATAATGCTAACTTGTATTTAGGAACAAATAATTTGTCCTGGAATCTGCATATATCAAACTGTCTTATATATCAAATATTAGTTTACTTAAAGGATACACATTTAATGTATATTATATTGTAATTCTTATACATTTTTACATTTTGCATAGATTGACTTTTAAGACAAAATGAAAAGAAGAGGAAATCACTGAGGACCCAATAAAAACTTCACATCTTATTTGTATCCTTGAGCTATCTTTTGTTGGAATAATTGTTATAAAACTAAAATTGCTTTTCCTAAAATTACATTTTTCCTTTATTTTCATCGGAAGTACAAAATAAAAGATAGTAGAAAGCTCTATGTATCTTAGTTACAGGTCTAGGTTGGTGATCAGAAGATATTTTTTATAATACATAGTGAAAAAGTTTATTTTTATTCAAGATAAAACTTCATGCAATTCTCATTTTATAGACACCAAAGCTAAACTACATTTCTCCACATTTTATGCATGCCCTTGATTCTTCAGATTTCTGTCTATAAGTTAAAAATAATATACCAGACTGGACATAATTTTGAAAATGACTTTTAAATGTAAAAACTATAACCCCTATACAACTTGTACATGCATACCGGACTGCCAAGGAGACCTAGTGTCATTTCTACACATCTTTACAATGTTTTTTTTTTTTTTAATACCAAACATAGTTAAATCCATATTATCCTACTAATTTTAATTCTGTCTGATAGTGGGCCATAGTCTAAAAGCCTACAGAGTATCTCTGTACCAATTATAAGCAACATTACTCATTACTCTGAACGGTTAACACTGCTACCTCATATAAAGTCCATTATCAATCTATGGTCAGATTTTCATTTATATTTAAAATTTATATTTAAAAATATATACTTAACCCCCTGACAATCTGTGTCAGATTTATATTTCACATCAAAACCATTATTTGCAAGCAGAGGGGAAAGGATTTTCTTCCACATACTCAATATTTTTTCCTTGACCTAAATGTATACATTTAGATGAAGGGGGCAACTGCTCTTTCACTGTGGTTTGGCTTCCACTTAGCTGTATTTTCAGTCTATTTTAAATGTAGAAATTTAAAGCATTAGGGATGGAAACATTGGCAACTAGCTGCATTTGCAGATTACTGCTAAACAAGTAACACTTCCAACCATATTTCCCATATTCCATCTTTGTTTACATCTCCAACCTGGGACATGGTGCTTTCCATAAGACCTATGTATAATGCTTTAGCTTAGAGAAAAGCTACTCAAAATTGCATACAGTGTCTAGTTAGGGAGACATTTTCTCCTTTGCATGTTGCCTCCTTATCTTCCACATATGGAGGAAGGAACAGATGTTTTATCTCTATGTATATTTTTTAAAATGGAATCATATCATTACTGATACTTTTTATATTTCATTGACAGAATTTTCATACATAATATATATAAAATATACTTGTAGGTATTATATTGATATACTGGTTTAAAAATTCAATGAAATTCAGTCTAGCTAACTTAGGGAAAATATTTAAAAAGTAAAAAATAAAACTAAGTTTTGGTCCAGCAGAGGAAAGATCTCAAAGCCTGACTGTTGGAAAATTAATAATTGTATTCAATAATTTTCTGTAAGACCCCAGGAGGATAATAATAGCAACATAGTTCTTTCACTAATTGCAACATATGCAAGTCACACTGATTTATATGGGTAATAAATTACCCATTTTAAATAATTCTAGACTTTCAAAAGTATTTTTCCTATAAATACAAAATGCTATTACTAGACATAAATACAGGAAGGCAGGACAAAAGACACATTTTATTAAACTAAACGTTGCATAAAATTTGGCGGATTAGTTCTTGCATAAAAATATCCTATGCTTTTATATAAACCAAATTTTAAATAGATTAGTAAAAAGAGACAATTTGAAAGAAGGTACAAAAATTCTGTCAAACCATTATAGGATATCCAGAAAAATTTTAATCAATTTTATGAAATATTTTTGCATGTTCTTGATTTAAAAACTGAAAACTATCACAGTCCATAAATTAACTTAGAGAATTAAGCAAATAGGTGAACATTTAGAAACTATTGATTGTTTTGAGCTTTAAAAATGTCACCTTCATAAATGTTAATGAAGTAATTTTCTACTGTGTGTGTTCAGCTATCAGAAAAAGCTTAAATGGCTCTTTCTACTTTGACTTGCAATTATGCAAGTTTATAAAGCAGGATACATTCTTACTTAATGTGAATGTTTTATAGTTTACTGTACTTTTTAGGCTCTCAGAAAAAAACTGTAGAAAATTGTCAGTCAAATGGCTATACATAGCCAAAATAAAAATGGTTATTTTTCTCCTATTACTGAAAACCACAATTTAAAATTTAGAAAAGACACAGTCACTTACTTTGGTAGAGTTTTCAAATGATTTTCTCTTAACTCCAAGATCCGCAATTTGACAAGTCTGTAGAAGTGAATAAAAAAAATTCCTTCTTAATATTTCTCTATAAAATCATATTTCTGTGATAGAGTCAATTATGACTGTATCATCCAAACAACTAAGTCTGGACAACACATATTATGTTTACGGATTTTAAAGAATTATACAAATTGATTATAACTTGTATCAACATTGGACAATGACAAATATCATTTTACTAAAAATAAAGATCATTCAAAGATATCACTGGGTCCTAGTATTCTAAATTTCATGTTTTATAAATATAAATCACTGCTTTTGTTTAATTGTATGTAACAGATTAATAAATATCTACTTAATACCAGGTGCTGTATTCATGTGAACATGGTAATACTGTCCCTCAAGAGATTGTAAATGAACTTGTAAAGCAAATAGTATAGCATAGTCGTTAAAAGCTTGAGTTCTGTGGTCAGACAAATCTGGATGAAATCCAGACTCTTTCTTGTTCTATCGATTTGATATTGGATGCACTAATCAACCCTTCCTAACTTAAGTTTCTTCATCTAAGTATCCTACTTTTCATATTTACCTGCTTGCTAAGTTCTATAGTGTGAGACACACTATTGTTAAAATGTCTATAACTGAGCTTTAAAATGTACTCAGTTGAGGCTACTTTAGAACAATATTAATTGGTTTCTCTGAATTCTTGTTGTTTTGGGAATATTTCACTATTTGAGTTATTTCTCCTATATATACTGGGCCTTTAGCTATTCATCTAGGTCTCTTCCTCCTTTCTTTGCGTTTTGACTCCTATCAAGTTTCTAATTCAATTTTAATTTTAAAACTCTTCATTTCTATATGAAAAAAAGTGATTCAGTTATTCAGAGCACAAGTATATTGCTAGTAAGATTTCTGAAGCATTTATGTCTCAAATCTTCTCAACCTTTGTACTAGTATGAAGACATTTTGTGACTTCTTTTGCCTTTTAGAGGCACCAAATCTCAGGTTTTAGAAAGAAATTTAGTAATTATTTTTTCTTTTTAAATTGTTTAAGGTTTTATTTATTTATTTTTAAAGAGAGAGAGTGCAGGGGAGGGCCAGAGACAGAGAGAAAGAGAGGGAGAGAGATTAGAATCCCAAGAAGGCTCTGCACTGTCATCTCAGAGCTCAATGTGGGGCTCGAACTCATGAACCATGAAATCATGACCTGAACTGAAATTAAGAGTCCAACACTTAAACTGACTGAGCCACTCACATGCTCCAAATTTAGTAATTCTTTTATTACACCATCCAGAAGAAGGTTAAACATCTTTTTAGATTATAATAATAAAGTAGAATATATTTTGGCAAACAACTTACACAAAATTAAATTCTAATTCCTAGTGTTTTTGGTTTTGGTATTATGTTTTCTGTTGGCCCAAATCTCTTCCTTCACATGAGGACTACTAAAAGAGAACTGAGAAAAATACAAGACATGAAAGTATGGTCTAGGTTGATAAATGTTCTCTGTTTTGATAAATCAAAAGTGTATTTGTGTTGGTGTAGTCAGTATCAGAGGACAGAGATAGTTTATATGAACAAATTGTGAAGTGTCAATTCATTAGAAACTAGGTAAATGCTCTTTTGAGGATCTGTGAATTTTAAAAACAGTCCAAGTATATTGTGTTCATAGGTGTATGATATCATAATCTGCAAAAGTAATGGGATTTGGGAAATGCTGACATGCTCTCTGCGTATAAAATGATGCTGTTACATGTTAAGGGATTTAAAAAACTGAGGTTTTTTAAAAATGTTTGTTTGTTTATTTATTTTACAGAGAAAGAGAGAGAGAAGCAAGAGGAGGGACAGACAGAGAGGGAGACAAAGAATCCCAAGCAGGCTCTGCATTGTCAGCACAGAGTCCAACATGGGGCTAGAACCCACAAAGCATGCTACCATGACCTCAGCTTAAATCAAGAGCCAGAGGTTTAACTTACTGAGCCACCCAAGCACAACTCTACTGAGTTCTTAACACCAACAGATAGGTGTTGAGTTATACTCAATTTATTATTTGTATGATTTCAAAGGTGATCACTTAGAAAAATTCAAATGATAATAAATGAAAAATAACTTTAAAGATATATTTTATATATAAAAAAGAGTGCATTGTTGAACACTTGGAAAACATTGAAAAATATTAAAATGAGAATAAAAGTTATCCAAATTTCGCTTCCAAAGAATCAGTCTTTTAGCTCACTCATCTTTTATATTAAAATTAGTGAAATATAGTTTATATATTTTATTATAATATGCTCCTAACCATATCATAGGAATTATAAAAGTATTTCCCAAAACCAGATTATAAATTGACATAGTATTATCATATGGATGTATCATAATATATTCAATTAATCTCCTAGACAGATGTATGCTTTCACTTCTTTCATATTGTAAGTAATGACAAATATCCTTGCCTATAAATCTCTGTGTGGTATCTAATGAGGATATCATACACTTCTAGAAATAAATTACAAAGGCAATAGTAACAAATATCAAATCTTTTAAAACACACTGGTCTGCCTGAAGGTCATAACATTCTGCAATTCTATCAGCGGTATGAGAGATTATCTTTTTCCTTATACTCTATAAACAGTTTTTATATGATGGAATACAAAGCTTTTTGTCATTTTAATTTTTTTATTTTTATCATTTGTGAGCATAAACACTTCATGGGGTCGCTCGCAATTTGTACATTTAATTATGAATGGCTTGTGCTATCATGTACCCATGTTGTTTCTTCTAATGAGCTCTTTGTCTTCATCCTCATTTGCATGAATTCTTTTATATGTTAGGGATATAATCTGCTTTCCATATATGGTGGCAATGTTTTCTCAGTTTACTGTTTTACCTTAATTTTAAAATATTTTTTGATAGGGGCGCCTGGGTGGCTTAGTCGGTTGAGTGTCCGACTTTCGCTTAGGTCATGATCTCGCGGTTCGTGGGTTCGAGCCCCGCGTCGGGCTCTGTGCTGACTGCCAGCTCAGAGCCTGGAGCCTATTTCAGAGTCTGTGTCTCCCTCTCTCTCTGACCCTCCCCTGCTCACGCTGTCTCTCTCCTAGAAATAAAATAAAAATATTAAAAAAAATACTTTCTGATACTATTTTATTTGAAATGTATTTATATAGTCAGACCTATATTTTCCTTTGTTTCTAAACTGTAGAGGTATTTCCCAGCCCAAGGGCCATAAATACTAATGTGTGCTTTTTTCCAGATATGCTCTCATTTTTTTCTATTTAACTCCTTAATTCACCCAGAATTTATTTGACTATTAATGATATCTAGGAACCTAATTTTACTTAATTTTGTGCAAAATATTTTGTTATTTATAAAAATGAACAAATAATAATGAATACTATCTTTAATCCCAATTGTCACTTTTGAAGCCTCACCTACTGGTGCTGGTAACATACTTACCTATGATGAAATAAAATTTAAAGTTCTTATTCTTACCTTCCAAAATTTGCTGGAAGAAATTCAAGAAAGGCGTCATTCAGGTAGAGCTGGGTCAGATTTAGAAGCTGTGTGAAGCCATCAGGGAGTCTAGAAAGGAGTTAAAGGTTTAGTCACTGCATCAATGTTGCCATAGAAACAGAACAAAAATATATATCTCTAAGGAGAGAAAATAGACGTGTAATACATTTTTCAACTCTCCTTTGGTATCATAGTAATGGGAGAATTTATTGAGCATGTTGTTACAGCTTGAAAATTTTGCTTGTTATTAAAATAAATGGCATTCACCCACCTCTACGCTGCCCTCCTATGCTGAGATTTATGTCACCATGACATCCTCTCTTCCTGTTGCCCTAACCTCATGCACACCAGTGAGATATTTTTTTATAGAAATTTCAAGTTGTATGCCCTGTTTTGCAATTTTAAATTTAATATTCTTTAACAGAATATTCACATTTATAGTCAGGCAAGGGTATCTCCTTACTCTTTCACTAAATCATTAACATGTATCTCTATTGCACTGGTGACTAAAGTTGCCCAAATGGAAAGAAGAAGCATTCTGTCCCCCTAAGTGATAATATATGTGCATTGTAATTTAACTTTGTGCAATTACTTCTTAACAAAAATGACCAAGAAGATTGAAATAAATATACAGAACCTTAAAGGCTTTAAGAGGCATTAACAGAGTTGAAGAAATATCCTTTGTGAAAATTTACCATTTGGATGAAATAATTATTTGCAATATTTAAATATTTTTTACCACAAAGATTTAACTCAAGGATTTTCCTGGAGACTTTTTCTTAGCAGACAATTTATTTTTTTCCTATGATTAAATTTCTATTTAAAGATCTTAATGACTTTATCAATGGTCTTGACAAGACTACGTTCTTTAATAAAATACTTCTCAATAGTGTTCAAATTTGCCTTCTCCTCAAATCACAGCCTATCTCCCTCCTTGCATTTACTGACATAATTATTTACAGAGCTGACTATACTCACTGCTTCTTATTACCCCACAAGCCATGGTTTTCTGGCATCTACCCCAACTCTATTACTGAAACTTCACTTGCCAAAGCCTCCAATGGCCTCTAAGTCCCAAGTCCATTAACTTCATTTCATTTCGTATCCAGCACTGCCTAGCAACAGTTGTCATTGATTTTTCTCTCCTTCTTGGCTTCTAGTACACCCTTTTTCTATTTCCCTTCCTCCCCTTTCTGGGATACTCTGGGTTTCATTCCATGGTTTCTCTTCCTCTGGCCAATCTCTTGTTATGAAGTTATATATCTAAAAGAATACATATGCATCCACGACATCATTTAATAAATAGAACTTGTGCCTTTAAGCCCTGAAACCCCTGAAACCCCCAACTACCTCATCCTATTTGTCCCTCAAATTCCCAAATGATTCTTATTAATCTGCTTTCTAGTTTTACTATACCTCCTTAAATCCTAAAAAAAAGTGTGGTCTTTGCATGTTTTTAAACATTATATAAGTCGGATCATACAACGAATACTTTCCTGAAACTTTTAAAAGTTAGCATTAACATTATGCAATTCACCCATTTTGAGGTCAAGAATGACTGATCACCATCATATAGTATTCCATTGTATCACTACAATTTATTATTCTCCTGTTAATGAACATTACAGATGTTTGTAGTTATTACATTATAAACATTGTTTCTGCAGATATTTTTTAACATATGTCCTGGGGTATAGAGATTACTTAAGTTACATCCCTCATCATAAGAGATTAACATTAACGTGCCTCAGGAACAGCCCTCAACCAATGACTAGCAAGACTATAAATTCCTCAGTTCCTTCATCTACTGTTTGACAACTCTGTGATAGGTGTTTTATGCTGTTTCCCAGAGCCCCTCAGAAAGATTAAGGTCCAGTTGTCCATACTAGTAAATAGTTTGATAACATACCCTCAACAAGTATTTCTTGAGACCAGCTCCTAAATATACTGTTTGAATTCTTTTCTAAAGACCTGTTTCTGGGGAATCCAAACTAAACACAATTAATATTTTTACATTATTTTGTAGGAATTCTTTATACAGTTAGGGTACTATTTTTATATTGATTGTTTTTACTGTAAATATCTTGCTCCTCGTTTTCTTGTTTTTTGGGGGGTGCACAAGTGAGTGAGGGGCAGAGAGAGAGAGAAAGAGAGAAGAGGGGCTCACCAAAATGGGACTCAAGTTTTACCCAAAGTGGAGCTTGTGTTCACCCAAAGTGGGCCCTGAGCTCACCCAAAGTGCAGCTCGAATTTACCCAAAGTAGGGCTCATGTTCACCCAAAGTGGGCCTGGAACACACCTGAAGTAGGGCTCATGCTCACCCAAAGTGAGGCTTGAGCTGCTGAGTCAAAGTCAGATCATTTTTAATGACTGAGCCACCCAAGTGCCCCCAGTTTGTATTTTAAAGTTGGATTGTTCTTATATGACTTCATAGAGTTTGTTTCCATAAATTTTCCCTTAAAGATGGGTAGGCTTCATAAAAATAGAAAAAAAAGGGCAGGGAAAGAGAGGGGGTTTTATAGAGGTGAGCATTCACCTTAGAGGAATGGGAAAGGGAAGATGAGCTCTAGAGAAAATATTTTATGTACAAGATATTAGGAGTTAAGATTTGAGAATATCAGTAGGCGGCAGGATTTAGAAGGTACTAAATGCTTAACTCCAAGGTTTGAACCCTATCCTATAGGATTAAAAGGGTCCAAGGGAGATCATTGTTTTTCTCTAAGTTATCTTTTGTTGTAATACATTAGCTCATATCCAGATAGTACGGTAGTTTTTATGATAATGGTACAGATGTTCAATAGATTTCAATACACATGTAATAACTATATTACTTTAATGTCCTTATTGTTCCTGTACTTATTGGAAAGAAGGTATCATTTATGAAATTTTAAAATCCAACATTAATACACATAAAACGACAAGAGTGTTAAAACCTTTGATCTAATAATTTACTTTAACATTGTAGTTATTAATACATAAAAAGGCTTTAAAATGCTAATTTTCTCATTATAGGGACAATTTGAACTATCCAGCTTCCCTTAGTCTACTATTCTGCATATGTATGTGCCCTAAATGGTATTACATTATACTATTCTTTGATCAAAAATGCATTTCTTTATTGCTGCTTCTCTGGCAAAGGTGTTTTTTTTTTTTTTTTTTTTTTTTTTTATGCTGCAGGAAAATCTGGTTTCTCATACAGAATACTTCTTTAAGAATTTAAGAATTGACCACACTGTGCAGATTCCAATTGCAAATCTGGACTGTTAAACATAAGTTACATGAAGAAACAGAATACAAAGTAAGATAGCTTATTTTCAGCCTAGTTATAAACAAAGATGTGTTGACATTTTGTATCAAGCCTTTCTTTCTAAAGAATGTAGAGTTAAAGTGTGTACTTATACAGTATGTCTTATTTAATACTATATGTATTTTTATTTCAATTTACTTCAATAAGATTTAGATTTAAATCTGTGTTTAGATTCAAATTAATGTCTTCTTCCTCACTTTCTTTGGAGAATTCTACTCATAGATCTAGCAAAATTCATACCAATTGCTTTATACCGAATTACTTATACAAATGCTTATACCGATTGCCTTGTACAAGTATTGGGCATTTTTTATTCCTGGGATAAGTAATGAGGACAATGAATTTTAAAATTTTCCTGAGTCATCTAGTATTGCAGTTTGAAAACATACTATTTGAAAATTATATAAAGGCAGAAGGTATGCTAAAGAAGAAATTGAATTTTATTTATTTTTAATTTTACGGTACAACTTTGTAGCTTCTAATAGAGACAATGGCCTCACTTATCAATATTACCATTTCCAGAGGAATGTATAAGGGGTGATGAAGAAGAAGATATTCCCTAGCAACTAGATAAACTTGATGAAGATGACAATAATGGATTGTCTTTACCCTTTATCCAAATTGACAGAACTTTTATCCAAGTTCTTCAATTGAATCTAACATTTTACCCTGAGTTAGGGAGCTCACAATAATGAAACGATGTTACTATCCAAAAGTAACTGACGGTTTTCCACATCTGATTAATATAAAGAATTCAAGAAGAAATATTTGGGATGCCTGGGTGGCTCAGTTGGTTAAGCATCTGACTTGAGCTCAGGTCATGATCTCATGATCTGTGAGTTCAAGCCCGTCATCAGGCTCTGTGCTGACAGCTCAGAGCTTGGAGCCTGTTTCAGATTTTCAGATTCTGTGTTTCTCTCTCTCTCTGCCCCTCTCCCACTCCCACTTTGTCTCTCAAAAATAAACAAAGGTTAAAAATTTTTTTAATTAAAAACATTAAAAAGAAGGAATGTTTTAATGTATATTGGCAAATAATTCTCTACTAAAGAAACACATTCATTTTATTAATCACTTAAATTAAAAGTGACATATTCAAACTACTAAAAAGAAAACATAACATAGCAGACACCCATATCGTTTAGTGGTTGAGCACATGGACATTGATGTTGAAGACCTGGGTTTGAATCACAGTTCTTTCAGTTGTTACTCCTGTGACCTTTGTAAATCCTTGTAAGATTCAATTTCCTTATTTGCAAAATGATGATGCTACTATCCACTAGCAACCAGAGTTGGTCTCGTGATTAAATGATTATCTGCTCTATGGTAAGAACTCACTAAATGAGGGCAATTATATTACTTGTCCTTGGTATTACTTTTCTTCTGATGTTTCAATATTAACTAGAACACTAATTTAAATACTTTTATTAATGCTACCTTTACTGTTAGAATAGGCAAATTAAAATTGGCCACCAACCTCTTTCTTCCAACACTTTTTTCTAATTACATTTACTTTAGAAGTTAAATGAAAACCTATTTGACCCCTGATAGAACAGTTAAATCAAATTACACTATAAGTCTTATAAACTGTGATTAAGAAGTCAATGTAAAATCTTCTCTAACTGAAAAGATACTTTACATCTAAATATTTTATACATTGTAAAATTATAAAATATAACTGTATTACAGTATATTTGAAATATAAAGGGAAAAGAAATATATTGCACATAATTCTACTTTCTTAACACAGCTATCATTATGATTT